TACAAATGAAAAAATAAAAATTATAGTATTGTAACTTATTGAATCATATTTTCTAACCAATCTTTTGGTCTAGTTATGTGCTCTGCCTCGCTGCATATTTTTGCCTCCCTCTATACGCACTTGAACTTATCATTTGGTGCTAATGCCCAGTTTGCTAAAATCATCCACATTCATCTACATTCTTCTTCACAACTTGATCATATAAACGAATAGTCATTGATTTTAACACTTCTACCCTAGTGTATGTACTTGTGAGCGGGTACTTGTTTACTTGCAAATTTCCGTGGGTACTCGACAATCAGATGACAAATATTTTCAAAAAATAATACTTGACAAATGCCTGAAAACACCTGCCAGGTACTTGATTTACTTGTTGAATCTCACACAGACACTTGGTACTTGACGAGAAGATAAAGTAATTCAAGTACTTGTTTTTCTTGAAAAGTACTTGGTTTACTTGCAGAAAAGCGCAAGAACGTTAGACAAAACGTGCGGGGGTACTTGACCAAGTACCTGCATGCAAGTACATTCACTAGAAAAATCATTAATTCCTGTCATAACCTATGACTTCACACGTATGATTTATAACACGTTGTGTTTAGCTTCTGATGCCATTCTAATCAAGATTTCTTGTGTATCTGTAACAAACAGGCCTATATCTTCAATTTTGTTTTCTAACCGTTCTATGGTTGTTGATTTCCAAAAGTTGTGTTCTATGCGTTAATATTTCTTTTTATCATTTTATTATTACTTAATGGTTGATTTCATTCCCAAGAAGAACAATAAATTACTTTGAAAAGAAAAACTGAAAAATTCTCATTTTTTTCTTACTTTTAATTTTTCCACGATAATTAACTAGTAGATATGTAAATGGTCGAACAAAATAAAATGTAGTCATTGTTCATATTCATCTTGTGTTCAACATTTAAATGAACACCATCATCAACGAAATTTAAAATATTTACAAGAACATGTACAACGACTTGATATATTCTATGTAATATCAGTTCTTTACTATTAAATTATCGTGAGGATGTAAATAATATTAGAAAAATTATAAATATGTCTAATTTGAACGAGAATGAGCAAATAAATTATTTATATAAATGTAATTTATTATAAAATGATGGATATTTATTATTTATTAACTATCATCATTTCTTTATATCAAAAATGTCTTTACTACAAAGTTCTATTGCACAAAAAATACACCAATATCCATTATTTACTATCGATGTTCAACAATTCGATTCAATTATTATTAAATATTATAAAGGTTCATTTTGTCTGAAAAATTGTATTAAAAATTTAAATGATAAAGCACAACTACTAATAAATACAATTTCAACAAAACTGATCATTAATAATAGATTAGATGTAAATGTACAAGAAAAACCATTATTAATTAAGAGCTTGAAGGAAAATGTGAGTGGAGATAACAAAGAATAACAGAATGCTCAAATAAAACCAGTTTGCAAGTCTCTTTGTAGAATTAGTATGGAGAATGTATAAAAACCTCTCTATAATGAGAACCATCGGAACTGTATTCTAACTGAATAAAGTTTATATCAGTGACAGAACATCAAAAACAAATAAAAAAAATTTGCACTAATATCTTCAACAGAATACAGGTTATATTCTATTGTTTCAAACCCACATCATTACAAAATAATGAAATTCTTTTTCCAGTATATTCACGTGGAAAAAAATAGTTATTAGGGTGTTATAAAACATATAGATATATTAGACTAGAAACTTTAAGTTCAGCAACGAAAAATGAACAGAGAAAACTCATGGACATATTATGAGGTTGACAACAATTATAGCTTTTTAGAAAATCGTGACTGCGCAATTAACTTGGTGTAACGTTTAAAACAATGCAAAAAAAAAAGAAAAGAATTTGTAGATTATCTTAGGTAGTCTATCGAATCAAATACCTCAAATACCTTTCGTCGGAAGGACGCGGGCGATTATTTGATGAAATCGGCCCCTGCTTGAATTCCATCGACACATACATGGTTAGATGCAGAATAAACAGGAGAACGTTTCTAGCCACTAGGCAGACCTGAGAAATGCTCTCAGAAAAAATTGGGTCCAATTAACTGTAATCACTTCTGACACGCATTTTTGATCATATTCTCGAGTGTTTCTCTCTCGGTCTCATACCTCAGTAGAACTATCATATATCATTCGAAAGCCCTTTTTCTGCGCTATATTTCTGTATATCACATATACCGAAATAGTCGTTCTGAGGCCAAGTATGTTTAGAAATACTTCCGTCTATGGAGAATAATCTCCTATATGCAAACAGTCTAAGACAATCTATGATACCCTTTATCATCTAGCCACTACGATAGACATACCAATCGATAGAGAATTTCTTGCGCTACAAGTTCATACATTTATGATAGTGAAAAACGTGTCCTAGGACCCGTTGACATTACAAATGCTGTTAGAAAGCCGTGAACAGTGGGTGGCTTATTCCACGGTCAGGATACTATGATTAACGTCTTTCAACTAGCCACTACGATAGATATACCAATCGATAGAGAACTTCTTGTGCTGCAATTTCATATATATATGATAGTGACAAAAGTGTCCTAGGGCATCTTGACATTAAAAATACTTTCTGCAAAGCCGTGAAAAGCGCGTGACTTATTCCACGATGAGGATCCGATGATCAAGGTTTCTCAACTAGCCACTACGACAGATATACCATTCAATAGAGAATTTCACGAGCTGCAAAGTGAGCTATAAATAAATCTTTCAGAAATATGTTCACACGAGTCAACAGTTGAAACCCTTGGCCGATATAATGATTCTGGCGTATCCTAGTGCTTTTAACACTCCGTTAGTCGTTTTTCTGCCATAATGAAAATTATGTATTGTTCGAAAACATACCACTGGATAGCCCTTGAAATTCTCTATAAAGTGAGCTGGTCACAATATCCAGACAGGTCGGGCCAGCCACTAAAGATATGGAAAAGAAGATTTTGGGTGGTATCTAAGCACTACAGTGTGTCATATTCACAAGAACTCTCTTTTTTTGAGGCAACTGCAGTAGCTTTACCATTAGCCACAAGGGGCGTGAAAGGTACCAAAATATTCCGGTGAAAAAGCACTATAGAATGCCCGGAGAAGTCTTATTTTGCTCAGAATTTTTCGCTCTATCAGGCTATATGGTTTACAAAACTTTCGCACTAAAAACTAAGGGATTTGGTTTTTCAGCGGTCAGGTTTTCCAGAAGCTCTATTATCCGCTTCTCTTATGAAAGGCCGATATGCACCTAATCTGATAGAAAAGTCTTCGGGCTATTCGAAACATTATTCAGATTGGTTCCAGCTTTTATTAAAAGGTCAAAAACAAGAGAGTTCTTGTGATTATGACACACGTGTCAGAAGTGATTACAGTTAATTGGACCCAATTTTTTCTGAGAGCATTTCTCAGGTCTGCCTAGTGGCTAGAAACGTTCTCCTGTTCATTCTGCATCTAACCATGTATGTGTCGATGGAATTCAAGCAGGGGTCGATTCCATCAAATAATCGCCCCCGTCCTTCAAACTTCGAAAAGTTATGGCTTATGACGAAAATATTGGTGAGAGCACGGAGATCCCCTTAATGTTGGGTTAAAATACCGGTTACATGAACTTTCTCTAACTCATTTGTATTTTATTATATATTGTTCACTATTTTGTATTGTATGCTTTCTTCTTCATCGTGTATAGATTCTCAGGACATAGAACAAGAGAGCCCTGACTAACCTCATATTTTTCGATTCACTTTTAAAAAACAAAAATATACTCAGCAGCTTTGAACGTTTTCTGAATTCCAATGTATATGTGTGCAGAAACGGCTATCAGAGTAGCGAAAGCAAGTAGATAAAGGTTTCCGAGCAATATCGCGTTTATTGAATAACTTTGCCGGTGGCATATCTGTCACTCTAAAAATCCACAAAAAGTTGCCTATAGTCTCGTTAACCTATTTTGAAAAAACATCAAGAAAATCAGCTTATTCTATAGCTATTACAACAAAATACTACTGAATGGTTTATAATGATGTTCTTGTTCTATGCCATACAAGGATGTTTCTTAAACCGAGCGCTTTAGAGATTGTGTATGTTGACCGCCTGAAACTTTGTGGTTTACTACAGGTCAAAAGATCAAGAAGATACTGTACTCAAGCATACTTCGCTGTAATATTCTTTTCTTATTAACTAATGCTGTTTTATCTTTCAGACTAACTATTACGCAAATTATATTCTAAGTACACAATTATCCAGTTAAAGCCGTATTCAGATAAACATACAAATTACAAGACAGGATAAATAGATTTTTGATCCCGGAAAAATGCATAACGGTTATACGTGAGGGTAGATTTTGAATTGCGAATGAAGGAAGACAAAAGTCGTACTTGAGCTAATGAAGAAATCTTGAGTAGCGTACCTCGTGGCGTTCAAGATCGATAGCGAGGCGATTAATCAAGCTGTATCACACAAAAAACCTCTTCATTTTCTTCTCGAGCTTGGAGACTTGCCAAATGTACCGGGAGAACAGTTTGAAAAGGCAACACAATGAAGTATATCTATTTCATACTGTCCAGCCAAATGGGAGCGTTCTGAACTACATCATTGTAAAGTATATACAAAAAACAGAGCGTTTCGAAGTGGTAAATAGTCAATGATCAATATTCCCTCTTTCTCCTCCCTCTGCTTCATCTATTTACTGTACCCGCAGCCTTTTTTCGCTTCTTTCGCCTTTATTTACCTTTATTTTATTTTTGGCTGTTTTTCTTATGGAAAAGAGTAACACCTTATAAAATAACTCCTTGAACTATGTAACGGCAATTTGCCGCTTTAGTTCGAGGGTTATTAGGATTTCTTTATCTTTAAATAAATACAGTTTAAACCAAGCATTCCGAAAACAACCCTATCGTCGGTTGCCAGAATGAGCGAGATTATAAAAAAAATGAAGAATTTGTTTATGATATGGAATGATAGAAACTTCACGGACAAAAGGTGACCTCCATGTGGTCGGGACTCCAGGTGTCAGCCATGGAAGACGGATCATCTCCCCACCATGAATAGGCGTCCGGACATCTAGACTTGAAGTAGGCTGGATTGACCGAATGATTTTTGCATGCCCTGACCTGCCCATTCACCCAAACTTTCAAATTATCAGGGCACTCATTGAGGACATTCCAGCTGACACAGTACAGGTTTCGGCGGTTGCCTCCGCCGCCTCCGACTGGAACGAGAGCCATCGGATAGGTGAAACCATCCACGAGAGAAATATCGTACCAAATGTGGCCGTTGTCGTCGTTAATCTCAGCCAGTGTATCATCTCCCGCAACGCCAGGCTGTTCGGCCCAAGTACGATCGGATCGACCGTTGCCTCCCCAACTGTCCTGTCCAGCATCGATCCAACGGCCGCCGTCACCATTGCCAATGTGAACTCTCAGAGGCCACGAACACTTGTTCTTCACGCGAACTGTTACCCCAGAAACTAACAAAAATCGCTCCGTGTTACGTTACAAAAGTAATGAGGCTGTATTTTCACTTCTTACCGGCACTGATGACCATGATGGCGAAAAGTAGAAGTTTTCCTGTGTTCATACTTGCGTCTGTGTGCGCAGCCAAACGTTATTATAATCTGTGTTACTGGAACAAATTGAGCTGTACAAGTCAATCTGATCAGATAGTAGACTGGGTCTTCTTACATACCTACTTGTGATGAAAAACTCTCAGAGATCGGCAAACGTTTTAACGAAAAGAGACAAAGCTTTTCGGCTTTTGATGTGGTATATATAGAGACTAATGTCATTTGTTTCTTTAAGCCATAAGATACATTCGCCAGGTGGACAATCTCCCATTAGAGACAGTATCTTGTTTTCTCTCTTTTTTCTTTCTTTCAGCGGCTCTATTAGTGATCCGATAAATTAACAGAATGATATCTTCTTTTCCATTGATAACAGCATGCCTGGAAGCATTTTTTCCTTTAAGCAACTGTGTCTGAATGATTCAATAGTTAAAACACCGGACCAACGGACTAAATTATTATTTGTCATCGATGACAATGAGGAAAATCGCATAGTTCAAACCCTCGTCAATAACTAGCTCGTATGTTATAAATAATGCTTAAATATAATAAATGCTTGACCTTAGAAACGATACAAGACATGACAGATAAGGATTCATTTTATAGAAAGGCTAATTAAAAATATGCGCATACCTCGAAGAATTCATACACTGCTACTACGAAGTCAGACATAGTTTCGTTCGTGTTTTGAACAATTCTGGATCCTCTTTTTAGTCCTCATTACACTATGTTTTACTCGAACTTTTCTTCGAGAACATGATGTAATCAAGCTTCGGTATAGAAGATCTCTATGTACAGCAAAGAGTTATTCTAGTGGAAATCATTTATTGATTTAATTTATTTCATTCGCGAAAGGCGAAAGTCATTAAAGGTTCCGACTCATAATTAGGTATGCACCGAGCTTCAAGCTACCCGCTTCGGGTAGCTCGACCCGGTGCATACCTACTCATAATAACAATGACCCAAGCCAAACACAAACAAAGTAAGCAAAATAAAGATATAATAAGCGATATAAATATCAAGCAGGAAGACCTGTAAACAAGCCTTTTTAAATAGCAAAGAGCAAACGATAGGCTTCAAGTTTTGCTAAGTTTAAAGGTCCCATATAGAGAACCAAAATACTGAATTTTCAGTTCCGTCAAGACTGGATTTCATCATGAAGATCAATTATATGCATGATTGCAAGTATGCCATGTCCATTCCTCAGAAACTTCAAACCCTGACGCCAACAAAGGTACTAAAGCCAAATTTGTTTTTCATCAGCTTCGTTTTGTTTTGCCAAGTTGGGTAGCATACAGTATCCACTAATTCTTCGAAAAATTTTAAAGTTATTCTCATTGGTGACAGGTATGCACCGGTTACCGTTTCAAATCGAAAAACCGGCACGAAAAAATCGATGTTCGGTTTAAACCGACACCGAAGAAACCGAACATTCATGAAATTTTCTTAGTGAATGACATACTACTAACTCGTTACTAGATGTAATTAATAAATCTCATATTGCTGAAGATACGTTTGTGCGAGCATTTCCGTTAGCTTTCCGAAAGGTTTTTGATAATGTGAACCATGAACTTTTATTTCTAAAATTCTATAAAAAAACGCGTTACCTGTGAACTGGATCAAAATTACCTGAAAGACAAGGCAATCCAAACGGTTTTAGATGGCACTATTTGTGGAAGGAAAAAAATATCAAAGTTGTACCACAGGTGTCTGTTATTGGATCTCTACTATATTTAGTATATATATTGATGATTCACCTAATGGCATAGAAAGTGTTGTGAGATTGTTCGCTGATGATGTTCCTCTCTATTTTCACGTGCTACACATAAAGTCAAAAAATTAATGAGTAAAAAACAAGTCAGTAAAATTAATTTCTTAGCAATTAAATAGCTTACATTTTAGAACGCCTAAGATTATTATCAATACAAGTGAGACAGAAGCAATCAAGAAATTTAATCTTTTATTTTTCTTGCTTCTGTTGTCGTTGTGTTTAGGTCGATCATTATTACTGTTAGATCCAAATTGTCGATGAGGTAAAAATAAAAAATTTGCTATCGTTTATCTTCTATGTTAGAATACGAGACGTAATATATGTCTTGTAGAGAAAGTACAGAATTAGCGATTCTATAGATTCCCTAATCAGCACTGAGAAAGTATAGAATAGAGTTTTGAGGCTCACATATTCTTGATCACCTTAAAATTCTCTATTGAATGGTATGTAAAAAAATAATTTCTTTACTGCATTTTTGCTTTGCATCTTAAATAATCTACGGATCATTTAGCAAAAAAAAAAATTTCACTGCAACTTTGATTTTCGTGCATCTTACAGAAAGAAGAAGAAATTAGTTTAGGGCTTTTCTTATAAATTCTATAGCTGTGCGAAGAGTGGTCATGTAGAGCTGGGGGATGTTTTATTTTAATCAGCATTTGCATGCTACAATCTTGCATTGTTAATTAAGGTTTGGGTTATTTTCTGGAGTTTCTCAAAAACTGCTTTTCCAGAAGACCGAATCATCAAAGGGCCATGGGCCACCCCCATGGTCATATTCGTAATCAGCATGGTCGATAACCTATAACTCACTAGATTTCGATCGAAAAGCGATTTATCACTTCGGGCGGGAATGCCGTTACTATCCATACAGAGAATGTGTTTCACCACGCTTAACACTATCATGCCGATGATAGTTGTGTTTATTTGACTTCTTCTCTCTTCATACCTATATTGTGTCTACGGTTGTGGTACTTAGAAAAGGAGATTGACTGAAGTCTCCAACTTACAATCTTAGACAATCTTTACCATTTTGACTATTTATACTATTTTAACTATTTTCACTGTTTCGACCATTTTGACATTTTCGACTATTTTGACCATATTGACCAGTTTGACTATGTCAACTATTTTGACAATTTTGACCGTTTTGACTATTTTGACTATTTTGATCGTATCGACCCTTTATGACAATTTTGACTATTTCGACTCTTTCGACAATTTTGAGAATTACGACTATTTTGACAGTTTTGACTGTTAGGCTATTTTGACTATGTTGACTATTTTGACTATTTTGACCTTATTGACTTAGGGCAATCCAAAAGTAGTGTCGTCACTATCTTATTTCCTTATAATAAGCTCAAAGAAATTTTCTTTTTTTATGCAATGATAGAGAAAAGAATGCTCTATTTTTCTATGCTATTTGATCATACTTCAACTAATATTATAATAATAAAATTTCGATAAGATCTGTTTTGTCTGCATGTGTCCTGGTAACATGAACGCGAGAGGAGTTTTTTTTTGAATAACTTTTGATAAAAACAAGAGAGAGAGCTGCGGTTTTCACCGCTGAAAAAAGGGGATGGTGACGCATCGAATCGTGTATTACAGATTTTTCTAATATTGATTTCTAAAAACATTTTT